AGGCGTCAGTTACTTGTAGCCTCCACTTTGCTCCATGTCTTGCTCTACTTCTAATATCTATTGTATCTGCAAGAAAAAAACATAAAATAGCTTTTTTTTGAAGTGCAATTTCATCCATAAAATTATGCAAAGTATAAAAGAAATTAAGCATTCTTTTCTACACATCAGATGTGCCTTCAAGTCACTGCGATCCGATCTCGTTTCAGGCTTAAGTTCTTGAGCTATCACGCGAAGGCCACCTTATGAAATCCTTCAGATTCTTTTTTTAATTGTATTTCTATTTTCTTCATATTTTTTTCTTTCCAGTTCCTCTTCTATTTGAGTCATATTTGTAATTCAAAAGAGAGACTTATTTGGAAGAGAATTATACGAGAACAATAAGATAAGAGACTTAAAAAGTTAAAAAAAAAAAAAAAAAATGAAAACAAATTGACAACTCCACTGGGGATGAGTCTTTCTATTCACATCTGGTGTTTGACTTACCAAATTAATGTTCCAGTTTATTCGTTGTGCCACTCTTGATGCCTTCTCAAAATCTTGGATTTTAGTCTGTGTGTCAGTTGCTATGATTAGCTGCTTGATGCCTTTCTGTTCCTCTCATACCCTCAGCATTTCAATCGCTTCATTTTCATATGCACCAACATTATTGTAAAATTTAATTGTCATCACGGCTTAGTCTTGAATTTGATCGGTCCCTCTCTGTTTGACAGAAATGAAAAATCAAAGGTCGATCACGATCGAACCGTCAGGGATAAATTCAATTTCCTTTTCACCTAGCATTTTCAATATGGATGAGAGGACCGTTACTTTTAATTCCTTCAAACACCTATGATTACCTAGAGTAATCCTATGCCCTCTGAGGAGTTTCCCATGTGCCCTCCTCTAAAGAAGAAAAGAGACATACACATAACATCTCTTCTGCTATAGCTGCTCATATCGGTACTACCCTTCCCACGAGAAAAAAGGCAAGCACTATGCTAGACGTTTTGGTTAAGAAAAAAGTACTTGTATTGAGATATTTTATTGGACAACGCCCTCTAATCTGCTCAAAATAAGACAACTTATTAAGGATAATCTCCTCAATCAAATAGTAGTACCTTTTTACAGAATTAATAGTTTATTAGGCATATAATAATAATAACAATAAACATTTGCGTGCAACGTCTCTGAAACAAGTAAAAAGATATTGACCTCCTTTCGATCCTTGAAATACAAAAAAAAAATTATTAGAAGCGACCTACCTTCCAACTACTGATGATTTTTATTATCTTTAATTATTTATTGTTCTTCAAGTGAAAAAAAAAAAAGAAAGGTTCTATCACTTAACGAAAAGCAAAAAATAAAAATAAAAAAAAACAAATCAATAAACTAACTGTTTCAGGAATTATAAATTCTGAGTATTTTAATTCTGCTTTGAGTTTCATGATAACCAAACTAAAAGAAATTTAAAACGCTTGTGTTTATTTCATGTCATGTAATGCAAACCAAATGCAACGTAAAAGTAATGCATTGTATTTGAAATAATGAAATTATTTGATTCAGTATAAAATAAATGCTACGCTTTTTTTTTTTATTTGGCTTGAAAAAAATGAAATTAATGTAAAATAGGTAGCTAGTTAGCTGCGACGAGTAGGGCAATAGGCCTCAGATGACGACCGTCGGGCGGCGGACGACTGACAGTGGCCAATAGAGAGATGGCTAAAAACCAAGCCCTTTATACAAATCTAACAAATTTCAAATGAATTGAAAATGAACCGAGGAACAAATACACTGTAATTTTACTAGATAATTTGAAATTTATACCAGCAACCATCAAGATTTCTATAACTCCTGTTAATAAAATACAACATACACCTTTTTTTTTTCTAGCAAGTCAAACAGCTGATCATTCTCTCAAAATTCATTTAATTTATGCATAAAATTTAATTTTTATTCATTTAATTAATTTTGCCTATCAGATTCATTTGTAAGGCTGCAAAAATCATCTGCAAGGTTTCAATAAGATTGCCTAATTGCAAGTAGAGGTGTAAACGAGCCGAACACGAGTGGGCCAATGCTCAGCTTGTGTTTGGCTCGTTTGTTTAGCGAGTCAAACAAGAGCCGTTCACAAACAAAGAGTCGTTTTGATAAACCTAATCACATAGCCATAAGATGTTAATGATTGACAGCCATAAAATGTTAAAGATTGAGATAAGATTTAAAAATTATTGTTTATATTAAAACATCATTTGAATATAATTTAATAAGTTTTATTCTATTTTCTTAATTAACTTTTAATTGATTATAAATCTTTGTAGCCTTGTAGTCAATTAAATTTTCTAAAAATATTACTCTTTTTAAAATACTACTTAATATATATATATATAATTCATGAATAGTATTTCAAGCCAAAAAGAGCCGAACACGAACAAACAAATCCACTGGTTAACTTAGCTGTTTGTGAACAACGAGCCGTTTTGACAGCTCTAATTGCAAAAATCTTTCTAAAAATTTAAAAAATCAATCAAATCTTCCAGCCCTGTGTAAGTATCTAATAATGAAGGAAAAACTTTTTGAGGAAAAAAAAAATGATGAAAGAACTTGTTGGAAGTTTATAAGAACCGTCTCAAGGAATTCTCTGCCTGTTGTAAGTATCTTCGTGCACGAAGACCGGTTCGTCGCTCTGCCGAGGGATCTGCGGTTGCCCTAAAGCGATGCCGTGATTTTGCTGGCGCCGCGGCCAGCAGGGATTGAAGCTCTTGGGTGAATGGAGAGCTGCAAAGTATATAATTCCAAGAGATACGCTTAGAAGAGAAAGAACGGCACCACCAGAGAAGACTCCGGCACTCAGAACATAGCAGTTTTTGCCGAAGTAGATGTCCTCCATCCCTCTCTTGTCATTCAATGCGGCACTGGCCAGTAGTAGAAGGAATGCTATAACAAAACTGAACCTGTGTGGATGATAGAACTGTTGAGTTCAGGCAATGGAAGAACATAAAAGTTCGGCTTTTTACTAGATTGCAAAATTTACATTAGCTGGGCTAGTTTATTTCGATCTCATCTTGATTCGAGCCAAAATTCAAATTAATTTATGAGCGATTAATGATCTTCGAGCTAAATTCACTAGATTCATAGCCATAAGTTGTTAACAATCTGATACCGGCTCAAAAAAAAATCGATACGAAATTTTGGCTCATCACTTGGCCTGTTTATTCCGATCCGATCTCGATCCGAGCCAAAATTTGAATCAATCTTCGAGCGGACTAAATTGACAGCCCTACACTCAATTCCTATTTACATACATACCACACAATTCTATTGTATTTACATATCTAACACCAAAACTTCAACTTTTAAATACATGCCATTTTACCTATACATGAAAAGGTGTATTTCATTAAAATGGAGGTATTTTTTTTATGTAATATGAAAGATTCGGGTGAGATATATATAAACTTAATATTTAGGTGTTGGATTTGTATCTATTCATAAAAAATGATATCCATATGGTTCAGAAGATTACCAAGAGACAGCAAAAGATATCAGTGCTACATTCCAGTTAGTGTTGAAGCGGCTTAGATTTCTCCTGCAGCAAATGCACCCAGCAAAAAAGTTTATAATAGCCTGAGCCAGCGCTAGAGCAAGTGCTGACAAAAGCCCGAGATGAAAAGCTGGGCTTTTTGGATATGTGCATTCTTCATGCGCTCTAGGCACCACGTCAGAAGCCTGGAAGATAACAAAACATTTAAGCCCAAATAAGCCAGCCCAGCTCAAACTTGGGTTTATTTGATATAAAATAAAAGAAGATTTACATAAATACCACACAATTCCTATTTATTTATAAATCTAACGCATTAAACTTTCATATTTACATACACAGTACTCAAATCTTTAATATAACATCAAACATATCACTGTTACTTGCTTTTGAAAAGTGAGAAACAACTTTGCATTTATATATTTATAATACCAAAAGTGTTATAAATGTGAATATAAAAGTTCAGGTGTCAGATATGTAATTCATAAAAATTGTGAGGTATCTATGTAAATTTTTCAAATAAAAATTAATCAACGGATAATTAGTTTTGAAATTCAATCTATATGACATGTAAGAGAACATTGAATTGGATGGTGGACAACATTCTGAAAAAAAATTAAAATATATGGAAAAAGACATCTATGGCATGCCGTTGCTTTAGA